CCACCACAGAATTCAGGTCCTACAATCCACCTGGCCTGAGCTTGAGCTTCTCAGGAGATCTCAGGAGCTTTCTGTCTAGCTCTCACCCTCTTCAAGCCTGTCTCCCAAGGCTGCCTCTCACCCTCTGCAGTAGGGTAACACTTCAGTCCTGGAGTAAAACTCTCATCCTGGGTATTGGTTTCATCCTCAGTTAGGCCAGTCTTTTTGTTGTCACCCCCTGCTGCCCTGTGCGTGTATGGGGGGTGCAGAATGGAGCCTCTCTCCTTACCCATGGGGCCCCCCAGACTCCTGTGTTGGGAAGGTGGGGCCTCTCTCCTCACCTGCAGGGCCCACAAGGTGCTAGTGTTGGCTAAATCTTAGTTATAGAGAGGTCCATGTGCCATGTACCCTCTTCCCCCCAAAATGAGAACTAGCTGGAAAATAATCAGTCTTGAAAACTAGAGATCAAAAATGCCAGCTCCAGTCAGTCTATCATTGCTTTACATGTATGCCATCAATATTCTTTTCTTGGTGACTACTCTGTAAGTGAGGAGGAGGCACAGAGTGGACTCTATGAGAAGAATGAGGAGCTCTAGGCACCAGGGAGAGAAGCACATTTCAGGTTGGGGATGAGGAAAGATCTCAGAAAGGATGGGTTTTGAGCCATCTATTGGTATGCTATGACACGCAAAGATGAAAGGAAGGATATTTCAGGAATAAGAGTCCTTTGAGCAGAACTGAGACAATACCATTAGGGTTTGGGGACAGGTGATCAGTGAATTTGGTTAGGGTATGTGGGGATGGGGCAAGAATGAATGAGTTTGGGATGTAAAGTTTTCCTAGATAAGTCTGTAGAGAGCCTTAAAGGCCAGACCTATGCTTTTCCTCTCTCCCTGCCTTCTCTCCTTCCATAGGTATTTAATATGCCCCTATGTACCAGGCACTCTACTACATGCTTGGAAATAGAAAAGTGACAAAATAGACTGATGTCATTCTTATAGACCTTATAATTCTGGTGTAGACAGAAACAATAAACAAATGAATATATAATACAACACAAGGAATAGGTGCTGTAATGCAGGGATGGAAAATAGGGTGAAAAGGGTGCTACTTTAGATGAGGAGCCAGGGATTGCTAAAGGAGATGACACTTGTACAGGGACTTGAATGGATTCCTGAATGAACCGTGAGGAGTGGCCAGGCAAGCATGCAGAAGGGTGAGGTATGGTTGGCACAAGGGCCTGAGGCAGGGTCACACTTGTAGGGTTTGTAGCAAGAAGGCCGGCCTGGAGGAGTGGGCTGGGTGAGGGAACCAGGTGGGAAGAAGTGAAGAAGGCCACCAATACCTAAGGTATTAGGGACCCTGGGGTTTATTCCAGTGCAATGGGGATGTGGGCTGTATCTTGGTGGCAAAGGGTATTGAAGTTTTTGGAACAGGAGGGTGACAGAGTGATACATGAACTGTTGTGTCAGGATGGTAGATTCCTAACTGTGTGGGATCATGCTTCATTCTGACAGACAAAGGCTACTCTTGGTGAAGTCAGAATGGAAGTCCAGAGCCCCAATTATTCATGTCCTCCTCATGCCTTCCCAGTTGGTGCCTTGGGGCACTCTATGGCACTCCTGGCATTAGGGAAGTGGCTGGGGGGTGTGTGTGTATAGGATGGCTGTGAGCTACAGACATCAGAGGCAGGACAAGAAATGGAAAGTTTTTGAAAACCCAGAGGAGAGGTACTGAGGATTTAGGCTGGCGTAAGAGGATTGGGAATGGACCAGAGGGGATGAAGCAAATCAGGGCCCTTGTGTTTATCCCTTTCAGCTAATTTATGCTGAGCCATGTACAACAATATGGAGTAAGCACATTCATGCTAAAGAGGTCCCATCCCATCATTGGGATTTGAGGGAGATCTGCATGGACACAGGGAAAGCTGAAGAGTAATTTCTATTTGATGAGAGATACTACCAGAAGCTTGGTTTGGATTCTTCTCTTCTCTCCACGTAGGGCACATATTAAATACCACCCCTTGTATTTTATTGCTTGCCACTGTCCCTTCACTCTGCCAGTTTCACTGGCCTCTTCCATATGTCTTGAAGCACAAGCATGCTCCTGCCCCAGGAGCTCTGCACCTGCTACTCTTTCTGCCTTGAAATCCTCACTTTAGATGACTGAGATCAAAATGACTGAGATTTCTCTGCATTCAGATCTTTATTCAATGGTGCCTCTTAATGAGGACTCTGTAGCCACTCTACTTCCTAGCTCTCTCTCTCTGCTTTGCTTTGTTTTCTTTTCTCCTAACTACTCTTTATTATCTAAAGTAAAATATATTTAGCATTTTAAATACAGTATTTTTGTTTATTTTCCCTCACCTAGATATAAAGTTGTATGAGAGCAGGGAGTTCCGCCTGCTTTGTAGCCCTAACTCCTCACCTGCAACACTATTTGCATAGTGGGGCTCCACAGAAACTTAAGGAATGACAGAAGGATTTTTCCTGTGGAGTAACTGTCACAGGTCTAGGGCAAGTTAAACAACTTATCACAGAGGATTTGTATTATGCACACATATAGACCTGTGTAGGTGCATGCACACATATGTACATATGTATATTTTAAGTAGCAAAGTACATAACTTGCATGTCATGTGATGATCTGAAAACAATTATTTTATGCCTTATCTGTTAAAACTACAAGAAAGCCCAAACAAGGGGGATGTTGGTCCATATGAAAATGTAAGAATTCTTTTGACGACTTTTCTCCAGAAACTCCCAATGCCTGCCACGCTAGGCACTGGGGGACAGTGATGAATTGCACCTGGTAAAGCTTCGAATTCTAGTTGTCTTTTCCTCTCTCTTCAAGTGTTTCTAAGATGATAACCCGCACTTGCAACTCACTCCAGGAGTGGCACTGCACTGAGAGCTTGTGTTCTTAAAGCCCATTTTTAGTTCCAACTGTTGGAACACATTTCCTTATACAGCTCCTGTAATAAATGGGGGAGAGTTTCTCAGGCTGGGCCACAAACGTGCATTTAAGAATAATACAACTGATATATCACAAACTTAAGATGAAAATTATACAAAAGAATAGCATTTATTATGAATGACAAGCAAACAAAATATAAATTGAGTTAGAAAATATGTTTTTATGTACCTTGGGTGAACATGCTTGAGAGAAACATGTAAAGATATTGAAAAGAAGCTTAGATTTTTCATGAATGGCTTTAAGTCTGGGCTGTAATTTGGTGACCCTTATGCCCTATTCCTCCCTTCTCTTCACTTGTCTGAGCTTTTCTTTGCCATTTCCCCTTCTCTTCTGCTAGCTCAATACTTCTTCATTTACCCCTGTCTTGCCTCTCTGACAGCTGATGCCTTTCCCACACCTTTCTTGAGTTCATTGTCATTGTAAAGATTTTCTCTTATCTTCATTGTCTTTTAAACTTAAAATTGAAAGGAAAGCTGGGCATGGTGGTGCATGCCTGTAGTCCTAGCACTCAGGAGGCTGAGGCAGGAGAATTGCCATGAGTTCGAAGCCAGGCTGGGCTACGTAGTGAGATCAAGGTCAGTCTGAACTACATAGCGAGACCCTGTTTCAAAAAAAAAAAGAAAGAAAAAAGAAAATACAAGGAAGTCACAACATGAGAACCCATCAAAACTACTTGTTTGGCTGCACCTGTTTGGAATGATTTAGTCTCTCATTTGGATTCCTAGAGAGAGAGGAAAAACTTTCCCATGTCACTCAATGAAACAGCAATTGTGAAAAATTTAATACAATATCCTTGTGTTCTTGGTTTTGCTTGATTTAAAAAATGATGTTATAAATAATTGTTATAACTTAGGTCAGGGGATAGGATCAATATAAGTATGAAGACATATCTTAATAGGTCTTTTTTACCCATAGAATATCTAAGGGAATGTGCTAATATGTCATATCATGGAGCTCAACTCTGCCTGGGAATGTGAGCTAAAGATTTCTTAGATCCTCATTCCTTCAGGTACAGTAGAAAGAAACCTATTTGAGGATCAGGAGATGCCCTGCTCTGGTCACCTAAGTGAGTCACAGAGTCAGCCTCCCAGGTCTCCACTTCCTCTTCTATCAAACATGGGCAATAATCCCTATTTTCCAACCTCATTGGACTGTCAACAGGGACAAACACTGTAGAAGTGAAGTTGCTCTTGAGACTTAAAAACTCTAGAAACAATGGTGTTATAAATGAAAGAAAAGTTAATTCTGGCTATCTCTGCCATGCTCTTATGAAAAGGAAAATTAGGGAATTCTTGGTAGTCTGACACCACCTAGAAAAGTCCCAGCATGGAACAAGAAGGGTAGAAATCACTCAGAATCTTATATTTATTTTGGAATGTTTATCAACAACATAAATAAGAAGTTTTGATCTTAAGAACTCCAAAGGTATATTTGCGTAGGGAGAGGCCAGCAAGAACAAAGGGCAGGAACAAGTGCTGTGTTGAGTGAATGCTGCATTAGATATCTGCCTTTTTTTCATAGCTGTGTTAGGTCTTGTACATTTTCAAATCAGGAAGAGGGAACATGCATTTAGAAGCTGACCGGATCAAAATCTGCTTGTGTTAACTGTAAAATAAGGAAACTCTCTTTCCCTGGGGCCTGACTCAGGTATCCAGAATACATTCTTGCCTATAAATAACAGGAGTGTTCACTGTGATTATTCTTCTCCACCTGGGTTATTTAGAGATTTCGATTCATTCTGGGTAAATGATGTGTGTCCTTGTAGAGTAAATGCTATGATGTGAGAGAGATTTATGGAGGACATCAGCCATTTGTGCCATTCCCCTCATCAGCTAGAGACCAGCACTGGCACAGAATCTTTTACGATGACACCTACCTATACCTGCCTTTCTGGAAGAGCTTACCGAGGATCTTTCTCAGAGGCAAACCTTAGAGCAGGCAGGATATACCATCTTATTTTAAGGGTCAATTACAGAGATTAAGAGCCTGGCATTGTTAGCCTGTGGAGAGACAGTGTGACTAAGTGAACTATTTTTCCTCTCTAGGAATTGTATCTTATTTATGAAGGGACTTTTCCAGCTCCGAAAATATCAAGAGTCAAAGCCAATGTTGTAAGTACTACCTGTTCTGTTTACTCACATCTCACCAGCTGTGCCTTGGTAGAAAGCTGAGGCTGAGTAGGCTAAAAGGAACTCTCAAGTATCTTTTATATTTGTTTCATAATCATTGCTAAAGTTTTATTATTATTACAAATCTGAAAATCAGGAGACATACATAAGAAAGTAGATTTCTGGATGTCCTTGAAAAATAAAAAGGCCTGGCCACGGTTGGACCCAAATTCTGATATGTCTACAATTAGCTAGAGGTGGATAGTATCTATTACCTTCAGATGAGACATATATTCTTCAATTTGCCACTGAGTTTACCACTCCCTACAGCCACCTATACCTGGCTTGGTAAATGGAATACTCCTGATCCCTGTAGGCCTTGAAATTATGATTTGTGCCTTGCCTTAATCTGTCTTCCCAACATAGATATATTAATGTCCCTTTTCAGTACCTTTTTGAAAAGCAGACTTTCTGAAGGGGGAGGTGGTCAACATGATGGCATGAGGTAGGTAGGGGAATGCTGCTCTCCAGATAGGAGGATCTAGGAATTCTGGTGTAGAGAGGTCTGGAAGGCCAGAGATACCTTTGCAAGAGCAAAGATTAGGCAGAGTAGCCCTGTCTAATAGTGATATAATGTAAGCCATAAACATGAGCCACACATGCACCGAAAATTTTCTAGTAGACACATTATAAGGAAGTAAAAACAGATGAAATATTTAACTTATCAAAAATATTTTAATTTCATCATTAATCAATTAAAACATTATTGAGATGTTGACATTATTTTTACCATATTAAGTCTTTAAAACCCAATGTGTACTTTACACTTGCAACACATGTATCTCCATAAAGATTAAGGCTTGATAGTCACATGTGGTAATGGCTACCATATTGGACATGTAGACGTAGAAAACCCAGAAATTGTTGACCAGCTTATTAGTTTTGCCTAGAGTCCTCACCAGTGACTTTATGGGATCCAGAAGAAAATCACATTTATTGAGCATTCATTGTGTGCAATACAAAAATGTTTTATTTTACTTTGAGAGTCCCACTAAAGGATAGCTACAGTACAGGGCAAATTCATTAAAATGGGCCCTCTACACTGCACCAACTCTTTCTCTATTGCACCTCCTGGGAATTCTCAGCTTTCTCATCTTTAAAACTGGTAATAATTCCATCTTTATTAAGAGACTATTGTGAAATTTATAGAAATGCTTTATAAACTACAAGTAACTATACAGATTTAAAAAAAATAAGACTATTTCAATGACTGTCAGCTTCTGTGCTAGGCAGTTGGCATATACATCTATCTTCATTTTTATAACACCTCTACCAAATGGCCTTATTAGTCAGGTTTTAAAGGGCAAAAACTAAGGTTTATGGAATTAAGCAGCTTATGAAATCACGCAGGTGGTGAGTGGAGGAACCAATCCAAGCTTGAAAATAGATTGTATTACACGAAAGAGAGAGAGGAGAGAGAGAGAGAGAGAGAGAGAGAGAGAGAGAGAGAGAGAGAGGGAGAATATGATGCTTACTTTTCACTTTCTGACACATTTTGGTGTTTTTAAAGATGAAACTAAGGCTTTCAATTATATATAGAGCATGCATATGCCAAACAGTGGCCAAGTAAACTTAGAATTGGATAATTTCTAGGGTTATCATCTGGGTTTTAAATCCACTGAGCCTCTGAACTGAAGGAATCTCCTGATTATTGAGATTATTTTTCAACCCCCAAATGAAGAACTTGAGGTTGCACCTCTTTTATGGAGGAAATTAATGCAAAGGACTGGTAGATAAATTCATTACCATTTGGTGATCTGCCTCTCCTTTGCACAAATAGCTTTAATCAATATTATTCCATCCCAATTTCTCTTCCTGTTCCCTGGGAAGAGGGCTACCACTTCTCTAATGAGAGAATTTAACATCAACTTTTCTAGCACCAGCCTGACTCATGAAAATATAGATAAGAAAATTTATTTGTGACTAAGTTCCTTTACAATTGCACACAGACTATATTAGCCAAGGCATTAAAAAGATAGTGTCTATCCCAGCAGTGGCACTGTTTGTGTTAGTGTACATTTTTTTTTGCCACATTCCCACCAAATTTTCTTACCAAGTGGGCCGCCCATTGCCACCTGTGTATTACTGCTTCCTCCTTCTATGTGTGCTGTTCTCATTTCCCTGAGTGCCTTGTTCCTTTGTTTCTCCCACTCATATCTTGTTTGTTCTTCACGAACTGGTTAGCTAGGGTCAAGGAGCTGACTCGGGTACAGACTTCAAAGCACATACCGTCTGCACCGCTCACGTGCGCTCACCTTACATTCCTCCTTGCACTGTCAGTGATGGAGTTCATGATGGTTCTCACCTAGCTAAACAAAGGTTCCTTGAAGACAAGGCTCTTGTATCTACAATGTTGTACAAGTCAGCAGAGCTTAAAATATTTTATTGACTAACTGCATGAGTACATTTCTGTATAATGGGGCTGGATTTATAATAGCTCTGTAAGATCTGCTGAATTGAAAAAATTTCAGATTTGAAAACTATATAGAATAGTAGTTTTCCTAGACAAAGCAAAGCTGGATCATGGTTTCAAGGTTCTTAATTGTCTTATTCTCCTTTCCTCTCAGCTTAGTCTCTCTAGACCTTGACTGTGAATTACTCAATCTTGCTGGATTTCAATTTTTTTACATTTGTTTAAAAGTACTTAGGGAATTCTACCACCACACACACTTACAATGTGTATTATTAATATCCCTCAAGCAAAAGACTGAATTATCCTGCAAAGTATATGATCAGAGTAATGTGGAAAGTAATAAAATTGATATGGATATAGAAAAACTTTGCTCCAGGTGAAATTGAAAAACTAACTGAAAACTATGACTCATCCATCTGCATTTTTCCTGGTTTAACAAAGCAGCACAAAATGTACAGTGCCCGTGAATAAACTCTTCATGCCCTTCGAAGTAATGAGTAACTGTGTGTGACTAAGACAGAATAGGAGTAAGTCTCATATCTTTGAGAAAAAAGCTCCCAAGTGTGGCTAGTTCTGAATGCACCCATTCTTAGGAAAGAGGATCCCATCGTGGGCTTGGGTCCTATCCATGTTCTTATTTGTCAGCAAGAACCTGTGATGAACAGTTATTGTCGTAATTTAAAAATAACTGAAGTGATACAATTCAGCGATCTGTAAGTTTCTTGAGCTCCCAGAGGGTTCTTTTCTCACATTTGTCCTTTTTCATGGCTTTTCATATTTTCAACAAGTTGTGTTTGCGAAATCAGCAAACACAGGGACACAGGAAATGTTGGCAAGGCAGCACATTCTTTTGGAGTCTGAGTTTTCAGGTCCTTGGAGAATAGAGTGAGCAGGCAGTTTTTATGAGAATGGGCACTCTGGTTTACTTTTAAGTAAAACAAATTAAATTCCAATGTGAAGACTGTTATCAGAAATCCTCCAGATCAGCCCAGCTCCTCAGCTCTCCCTCTCACTGCCATGGACATGTCAGTGTATAAACAGAACTTTCAGCCACTAAAATGCACTAGGCCTGGCTTGGGCTAGTTTAAAGTTATTTGACTTTCTAGCCTTTGGGATTGCCAATGGTTTGCTTTTAAAAGGTGCATTTTAAAATACCTGAAACCAACTGATTCCTCAAACAGTTTTTCCTCCATGTTTTCTCTAGTACCTCTGTGTCTGTGTGTGTGTATGTGTGTGTGTGTGTGTGTGTGTGTGAGAGAGAGAGAGAGAGAGAGAGAGAGAGAGAGAGAGAGAGATTGAGAGAGGCTGGTGTCCTTTTCTCTCCCGTAGAATAAGCCACTGTCCTGGTCCATGGACAAACACCCTGGTAGGATCACCTGCATTCCAAGCTGGTGGGGGCCTTCTGGTTTCCATTCTTGTTATCTAAGAATCTTGGCATCCTCTCATCTCCACATGCAATCAGCCAGCAAGTCCTGTCCGCTCCAAAGATCACAACCACTCTCTATGCTCTCCAGATTGGAAACATCACTCTGGCCCCAGCAGCATCCTTTCTTCTGTTCTGCCAAATCAGACTCCTGCCTGGCCTCTCTGATGCCTCTCCTGAGTCACTAAAACTCATTCCTCCCAAACAATTGGAACTTATTTTTGTAGAACCTAAACCAGATCATGCTGTATCCCTGTTTCAAACTCTGATCACTTCCCACTGTGCTTAAGAAGATAAAACAAAAGCCTCCCCTGCCTGGCAGAGGCCTACATCACCTGGGTCCTTTTGTGTTGACCCCCCTCTCAGTGCCACCCGCCTTTACCTTTCCTTAGACTCCAAACCATGCCCAGCCGCTTTGCCCTTGCTGTCCTGCCTGAAACGCTCCTCTGTGGAAAGATCTGATTTGGTTTCTGTCATCTCCTCACAGAGCCTTACCTGGTGTCCTTCTCTAAAGAACCACCTAGTCCGCTTCCATTACATCAGCTTAAATCAACTCTCCACAGAGTACTTATCACAATCTGACATTTTCTTATTTATTATTTTAATAAATTTACTTACCACTCATCTATCTCCAGTAGGATATCTCTCTCTTCTGTATCTCTGGTGTCTACTCATATGGTAGGAACTTAATAAATACTTTTTAATGGGTGATTAGATCAGTAATAAATGTCATGGCTGATAGTCAGTCAGGAATAGTATCTACAGAGCACCAGTGGTTTGTAAGATGTTAGCTTTATACTGTACGAAAAAGCCTATTTGTGACTCAGGTGTAACATGCACTGAGCTGTCTCATTTGATCCTTGTTGGAAATAGTGTGAGAAAGTAAGGAAAAGGAAGAGAGGGCCTTGCTGCCAAGAAACCGTAAATGCTTTCTGCCTGATGGCAGAAAGAGGAAAGTGTATGTCAGAAGTTCAGTGCTTTGCTTGAGCCCAAGCAGGGATGAGACGAAGGAGACTAGGACCTCCCCATGCCTCTGTGTATTTGATTGCATGGTTGATCTGCATCATCTTGTTTTTTAGCTGAAGTAGGAGTTTAATGGGTGGGGGG